GACTACAATTAAGTTTTGAAAAAATTGTTGTCACGCGATTTCTCATTTTGTTGTTTAATAAATATCAATTGTTTTCCGAGTTTCAATTGAGAAATTTGCCTAGATTTATAACAAGTTGGATAGAAATGAGAGATCCTTCGGAACGAGCTAACTTGTCGATTCTCTTCGAGAAATACATTCCACCCCTGCTGGAAGTAACAAAATCAAAATTCAAGAAGATCACTCCTTTACCAGAAATATGTCACTTACAAATGCTTTGTCACTTACTCGATTGCTTTCTAACTAAAGAAAACGTACCACTGGACTGCCCAAAGGAATGGTAATACGACATCAATAAATAAAATTTTCTAATAGTTTCCGCAATCCCTTTTATAATAACTAATGATAAAAGATACAACATTTTACGTTTACACTTTAGGTATGAATTATATTTTGCGTTCGCCTGCATTTGGGCGTTTGGTTCAGCAATGTTTCAAGATCAGTTGATTGATTGGCGGAATGAATTTAGCAAATGGTGGCAAAATGAATTTAAAACTATCAAATTTCCATCAAGTGGAACTGTATTTAATTACTTTATAGAACCAGAAACGAAAAAATTAATACCTTGGACAGAAAAAGTTGTCTCGTTTGAATTGGATGCAGATATTCCACTTCAGGTCGTCTCCAAATTTTATTAATTTATTTGAAAATAAGAACGTAATATGCCAAATCACAACAATGTTCAACGAGTAAGAATAAAAATAAGATGTTGTACATATATTAGATATATAACATATTTAACTTTTAATACAGTCCGTTTTGGTACCAACTGGAGAAACAATACGCTTCCGTTTTTTCATGGATTTATTGATAAAGAAGCGCGTTCCGATCATGTTAATTGGTGGAGCAGGCTCCGGAAAAAGTGTCATTGTAGCCGAAAAATTGGCAGCTTTGCCAGATAATTATAACATTGCAAATGTTCCCTTTAATTTCTATACTACATCAGGTAAATAAGAGAGACAATTCAAGTTTCTAAAACTATAGAGATTTGCAATTATAATAACTTTTACAAATTTTCTATACGTTTTTGAAATAATAACTTATTATAGAATTATTAAGAATTATTTTATTTTGAAAAAAAATTATTGTTACGCCTACAGAAAATTAGACAAATTAATACTTTCAAAATTAAAATTTTTTAAATTAATCTTAAAAGTGTCAATTGCTTATGAAATATTAATATATGAATATTTAGAAACGAAAAAACTTAATTTCTGATAAATCAGTCAGTTCTTCGCAAATGATTGTCAATTGTACGTTATAATTGACATAATCTTTATTTTAACGACAAACTACATTGGTTTCATTTTCGTTGAAAAGATATGTTGCAAAAAGTACTTGAGAAACATTTGGAGAAGAAAGCGGGACGTAATTACAGTCCACCGGGAACAAAACTTTTGGTGTATTTCATAGACGACATGAATATGCCGGAAGTGGACACTTATGGAACTGTACAACCTCATACTTTGCTTAGACAACATATGGATTATAATCACTGGTAATAATTTCGATCTGTAGGGTGAGATGTATAGAGCGTGACAAATTAATTTCTGTTTAGTTCTGTTAGTACTAATTTAAGCGTTTATCTCAGCATAAAATAATTCATTATGATCATTAAATATTCCACAAAATCTGAATTATCAATTTGTCACAATTTTAATTCCTCGTCACTAACGTAAAATACATAAAAATAATGACAAAAAAATAAAAAGTGTGATAAACATACAATGTAGGTACGATAGAACAAAATTAACTTTGAAGGAGATTCATAATACGCAGTATGTATCTTGCATGAATCCTACTGCAGGCAGTTTCGTCATAGATCCACGCTTACAAAGACACTTTGCCGTGTTCGCAGTTAGGTAAATTATAATTTTTTTATTCAGTAATATACATATACATAAAACATACAAGCGAATATTTTTATCATTGTATTAACCTTTCATATTTTGTATTAATCTTTGATATTTTGCTTATTCTCAGTTTTCCGCAAAAAGAGGCGCTCATAATGATATACAGTCAGATCCTTAAGCAACATGTGATTGATCCACAGCAAAAGTTTGATCAAGCGGTGCAAACATTCATAGATCCTTTGATAGAAGCCGCGTTATATCTTCATGATAAAATCGCCACGACTTTTCTACCGACGGTCATCAAGTTTCATTATGTTTTCAATTTACGCGATTTAACCAATATATTCCAGGTTAGAGTCGCGAAGAATATCGATCAATATTAACGACAACATGATTTTCCGCATAATAATGGCGATAATCCTGCTTCAATGTTACGCACAGGGGATGCTCTTTGCCCGTGGCGACGTTTTACCACTTCCGAGTCACGTAATCAGGCTTTATGCTCATGAAGCGATGCGAGTGTATCGTGACAAATTGATAAACTTCGAAGACCAGAAAGTATTCGATCAACTACTGCTCAAAGCGCTTCGCAAAAATATACCCGTACGTTTAACAAGAAGAGATTAATGAAAGTCATAATCACAAATAGAACAAAATTTGTAATTCTAATTAATTTTATTCTGCACTGGTTTACTTGCAATGATGTACTTATACATATATATCTATGTTTATGTATATTTATACTCATCAGTTATTTCATTGATTAACGATCTCTCAGGAGTTGAACAAAAATGAAATTAGTTTGGAGCAGCCGTTGATATACTGCCATTTCGTAGAAGGAATTGGCGAACCCAAATACGCGCCTGTCAAAAATTGGACGCAGTTTGTAAAATTACTCGACGAAGCTTTGCTCAATTATAATGAACTGGTATTATCTCGATCATATATTATCATCTCGTATAATGTACTTAGTTTAAAATGTATATCTTTTTAATTTCTTTTTAAATATAATTATATCGCAATTCTGGGTCAAGTAATAATACTATCATTATTTATATATACATGATGAAATACCATATATATATATATATATATATATATATACATACTGCTAATTGAAAAATGATTTCTGATTCAACCATTTATAACTCCCACATTTATATTATGTTTATATCTCTAATTCATATCTCTACAATCAATTATTGATCAAATATAGGTGTCAGCGATGAATCTAGTATTATTCGAAGATGCTATATATCATGTGTGTCGCATCAACAGAATTTTGGAGGCACCGAGAGGCAATGCGCTTCTAGTAGGTGTAGGTGGTAGCGGCAAACAATCTTTATCGCGTTTGGCTTCTTTCGTTTCCTTATTGGAGGTAAATAGAGCTGTTTTCAGCAGGCATTGTAAGCATAATGTTTAAATTTTAACGAACTTTCCAAATTAATCAAAAAGATACTTGACAGGATAGATATCGCAGACTGATGGTTGTGATTTTAATTGATAAATAATAAATAAAACAATAAAATCAATTATTTCCTGTACAAATTATTAAAACAATTTCCAACGAATCTACACATTAAAATCTAAAAAACATAAAAATCTAAAAAAAGTTTGTTATGTTTACTCATATATTAATTTTAATGTGTAAAATAGGTGTTTCAAATACAATTACGTAAAGATTACTCCTTAAACGAACTGAAAGCTGACTTAGCCATGTTGTATCTGAAGGCCGGGGTGAAGGGAATCGGTACTACTTTTTTATTGAGTGATTCTCAAATTGCGGAAGAAAAATTCTTGATTGTGGTGAATGATATGTTAGCGACGGGGGAAATCATGGAACTGTTTGCCGATGACGAAGTGGACAATATCATCAACGCCGTACGCAATGAGGTAAAATACACGTATCACCCTTCCAGTATTATTAAAATAATCTCTATATTCTAATAAGATACGAAAGTGGGATATCGGATTATTTTAAGTATTACTTGTGTAAAGTAATAGTTACACAAAAGAAATTTTACTATTTTGTTTTATCCTATTTTATATATACATTTTTTTTCACATTAAAATCCGAAAATGCTTAATTTCTGAAATATTTGAGAGACGGATCATGATTATTCGTTCGGTGACTCGTCATGCAGGTTAAGCAAACTGGATTAATTGACACTAGAGAGAATTGTTGGAAATTTTTTATCAACCGCGTACGAAGACAATTGAAGTGTGTTCTGTGCTTTTCACCGGTAGGAGCAACCCTTCGGAAAAGGGCCAGGAAATTTCCTGCAATAGTAAATTGTGCTGCGATCGACTGGTTTCAAGACTGGCCGCAGAAAGCGTTAGAATCCGTGTCGACAACGTTTTTAAAGGTTTTTCTCACTCAATAATTACAAAATTATTAAAATTTTGAAAGCAATGTTGAACAAGTTCAGAATAATTGTATAATTCATTACACTTTTCCCATAATGTGCTAAAGTGAAATATATTATTTTACACTATTTTTCTGTAGACAGCTTTAATCTGCTCTAACTTTACTTTTAACTCTAGGAGTTAAAAGAATTACCGATCGAATATCGAACTTCCGTGTCGCTGTTCATGTCTTTCGTTCATACGAGCGTTAACGATATATCCGCAATATATTTGCAAAATGAAAGAAGATACAATTATACGACACCCAAGTCATTCCTTGAGCAGATTTTCTTATATTCCAAGTTGTTAACAGAAAAAACACATGATCTGGAAGCAATGATCACGCGTCTCACCGATGGATTGGTGAAACTCGAATCCTGCGCGATTGAGGTAGTTTCTGGTTTATCTCTCGTTAGATTTAACTTATTTATTATACATATTATATAGGAATAATCGAATATATGCAGTATAACAGAAAATTAACAAACATGCTTGCCGTGTATACTACAAAGATTTCATATGTTCCATCCACTAAGCTATTTTTTTGTGAGGTAGGCTGACAAATTAAAGATCATTTTGACGGCTCAAGAGATTGAGTTGAAGGAAAAGAATAAGATACTTGATAAAATATTGCTCGAAGTACGTGCGGAAAATGTAAAAACGGAGGCAGAAAAAGCTATCGGTAAGATATTGGAGAACAAAAACAACAATGCTAAAATAACACAATGAAATTTTAGTGACCGAGGAAGAGGCAAAAGTGCAGGAAATCAAGGAGATGGTATCAAAAAAACAAATACGTTGCGATGAAGACGTGGCCCAAGCGGAGCCAGCGGTGAGGCAGGCCGAAGCTGCGCTCGATACTTTAAACAAGGTTAATGAATTTACATTGCAATTATAGATAAATAAATATTAACAGACCAAATTACATAACACAAATTTCCAGGTAAAAGCAATAACTTAAAATAAATAAATAAATTTTGAAGCTATAATGCCAAAATCAGAAAAGTCTTGTAGATATTTCTTTTTTACTCTAAAATATAAAATTTTAGTTAGAGTGGAACAAATAATTTCTATATTGCAGAATAACTTGACCGAAATGAAATCTTTCGGATCTCCGCCGGATGCCGTGCTTATGGTCGCCCAGGCCGTGCTCGTTTTATTTTCACCAAGAGAAAGGATTCCGAAAGATAGAACTTGGAAGGCTTGCAGAGTGATAATGGGGTCTATTGATGGATTTCTGTCAGAGTTACGTAATTATGATAAAGAGAATATACCACCGGAAGTTGTAAACGCAATTCAGCCGTACATCACTAATAAAGGTAATCTATATATCGTCAAATCTGATATTTCATCAAGTAAAACATTATAAATACATCTTTTGTACATAAGAAAACTATAATACATTTGAGAATAAAAAAATAACTACGCATATGATTAGAATTTGATCCGGACTTTGTATATTCAAAGTCGCAAGCGGCAGCGGGACTTTGTAGCTGGGTGAAAAATATTATGGTGTTTCATTATATCAACGAGAATGTAAAACCTTTGAGAGCAGCGCTTGCTGAGGCAAACGCCGAATTGAAGGCTGCTATGGACAACTTGAATTCTTTGAAGGACCGTTTAGCGGTAAGCTTGCTTCAGTAATGCAGTAATCTTTATCTCATTCGTTTCTTATAACAGAGTGAAACGATGTTTTCTTATTTGCGCGCAGGAGCTTCAGAAAGTGTTGGATGTTTTGAGCGAAAAAATGAATGTGGCTTTAGCTGAGAAACAAAAATGTCAAGAAGAAGCAGATGCGACTGCATTCGTTATAGACTTAGCAAATCGATTGATAAATGGTCTAGCGTCTGAGAATATTCGTTGGGCTGAAACTGTACAACTGTACGTAGATTTGCCTTTATATATTATATTTTATATAATATATTTATAATATTTTATAATATTTTAAATGTTATAGAAATATTAGAAAAGAAAATTATTTGAATAAAAAAAAACGATGATCAGTTAAACAAACATCAAATATATTTCATTTGATTAACTCGATATTTATTTATTCGAATTTACTGTTGTTTATTCAATTAGTTTTATTTTAATGCAATAACTTCGAGATAATGTCACACGTTAAGTAAGTTCCTAAACGGATAAAATTTATGATAAAACAGACTAAAGGAATCCGGAATTACGCTACCAGGCAACGTATTACTTATCACAGCATTCCTTTCTTATATGGGATGTTTTACAAAAAAATATAGAATAGATCTTATGAATTTATATTGGTTACCGTTTCTCAACAATCTGCAAGTGCCAATACTGTATACGCCAAATTTGGATCCATTGTCATCAATAACTGACGATGCAATAATTGCCCAATGGAATAACGAAGGTAAAAAGTATAAAACTCTCTATCATAGCATAATATCAATTATACTAAGATATAATTATATAAGATACAGAACATTTTAAAATATGAAAATCAAACAAATCGATGATTTTCCGTGAATAAATAAATAAAAAAAGCAAATGAAAAACCGAGTAAATTTTTTTCGGCTAATTTTTAACTAAAAATTTTACATAGGTTTACCTACAGACAGAATGTCTTCGGAAAATGCCACGATACTTATAAATTCGTCTAGGTGGCCACTAATGATTGATCCGCAATTACAAGGAATCAAATGGATAAAAAACAAATACGGAGAGAATTTGATAGTGCTACGTTTAACTCAAAAGTATTATCTTGACAAAATTGAACACGCTATCGCCAATGGAGACATAGTACTTCTGGAAAATATCACGGAAACTATCGATGCTGTTTTAGATCCAATCGTAGGTCGGGTTTTAATAAAGAAGGGAAGGTACATTCTCCTTTTCTCATTAATAAACAAACTACTTGACCAAATTGATCTTGTAAAATTGAACGCTAACAAAGGGCTATCAAGGTGGGAGACAAAGAGGTGGATTATAACCCACGCTTTCGTCTGATCTTACAAACAAAACTGGCGAATCCTCACTATAAGCCAGAAATGCAAGCTCAGACTACACTCATCAATTTTACGGTTACGATAGACGGTTTGGAAGAGCAGCTATTAGGTGCCGTCGTGAAAGCGGAGCGTCCGGATTTGGAGTCGAGCAAAGCCAAGCTCACGACTCAGCAGAACACGTTCAAGATCACGTTAAAAATGTTGGAAGATGATCTGTTGCATAGGTACGTAGACAAAAAAAAAAAGAAACGAGCGTGTTAGAGATAACATAATGTTTTTTTCTTTATTATTCCGATTGACTTTACAAAGAGATCTTACTCAACAGCCGAATTCTCATACAATCATTCTGCACTGTTTAATTATTTATTTAAATTGTCTTATTCGCGATTCGACTTGGTCAGAATGCTTGCTCGCTTGTTTTATTAGTCTAGCACGAAACAGAAATGTGTAGAAAAAAAGAACAATCTTTTGATTAAGCATTTATATGAATTACTTTTATCGTTTCGTTGAGATTGGCGACGGCAGGTCCCGATATTTTGACTGATGTCGCTCTTGTGGAAAATCTCGAAACTACGAAGAAGACTGCCAGTGAGATCGAGGTAAAGGCAATCGAGGCGAAGATGACTGCCATAAAGATAGACGAGGCGCGAGAGTCCTACCGACCAGTGGCATCCAGAGCCAGCCTCCTCTACTTCATCCTTAACGATCTCTACAAGATCAACATGCTGTATCAGTTTTCTCTCAAGGCATTCAACACGGTCTTTGAAAACGCTATTAAATTTGCGGAGTCGGCAGATGCCTTTACTAAACGCGTCGCCAATTTAATCGACAGCGTTACGTATTTGATTTTTACATATACCAGTAGAGGATTGTTCGAGAGCGACAAGCTCATATTTTTGTGCCAGCTAACTCTTCAGGTACTAAACTACCTCATAAATACGAATAAAAATACTTGGCCGATTTCTCTTTGAAAAAACATAATATAAAATGAATCTTATGACATTTGCTGTATTTTCTTTTTCACAGTATAACTTTTATGTATTATGTATTTTCGAAAATTTTCTTTTTTAAATAATGTCTATAAAATTTTAAATAATGTCCGAAAAAAATCTTTTAAGTTGTCTTCAAGTATTACATATAACTTTAACAATTTGAAATAATTTTTCTGCATTTCTACTTTTTGTAAATTTTTATTAAAATATATTTTAATAAATATATTTTAAGTCATATATTTTAAGAAGTTATTATTTATAGAGTGAAGCAATATTTTTCAATTATTTACATACGTAATATAGATGTATTGAACAAATACTGTGATTTAGATTCTAATGCAAATGAAAGAGATAGATCCATTAGAAGTGGATTTCCTCTTGCGATTCCCTTATCTCCCTGATGTCATGAGTCCGGTGGATTTTCTGAGTAACATTGGCTGGGGTGGCATCAAATATCTGAGCGGAATGGAAAATTTTCACAATTTAGACCGCGATATAGATGGAGCTGCAAAGAGATGGAGAAAATTCGTCGAATCGGAAACACCTGAGAGAGAAAAATTCCCCCAGGAATGGAAAAATAAAACAACCTTTCAAAGACTTTGTATATTGAGATGTGTGAGAGTTGATCGAATGGTTTACGCTATACGGTAATTTACTAGAATAAGATTTTGAAATAATCCATTCCATTCTTCTTTAAATAGAAGATTAATTATATTAATAAAAACATAAAATACATTTAATTTTGTTTCGATTTACTTTTTCACTTTCTTTTAATTCTTTAATCATTAAGCCTCTAACGAATGTAGATACTTCGTGGAAGAGAAACTGGGAGCAAAATTCTTAGAGTTTCGAATGAAACCCTTTGAAAAATCGTACGAAGAAATGAATGCGAGCACGCCAGTATTTTTTATTTTATCTCCAGGAGTCGATCCTCTAAAAGTATATCTTTTATACTTCTAAATGTAGAGATTTGACATTAATTGTATATTTAAATACTCAGTTTAATAAAGTGACTTTAGTATCGCCTAATCTTAAATTTAGTATCGCGATTCTTCAAAATATTCCTTGACGTAATTTTGATAACAAATTAATAAAAATGGAATTATGATTATACGTAGGATGTTGAGAAACTCGGTAAACAGCTCGGCTTTACATTCGACGCACAAAATTTCCACAATATATCATTAGGACAAGGTCAGGAACCTATCGCGGAGGAGATGATAGAAGTCTCAGCGCGCAAAGGTCATTGGGTTATACTTCAGAACATCCATCTAGTGAAGAACTGGTTGCCAAATTTGGAAAAGAAGATAGAACAACTCTCGGAAGAGTCACATAAAGATTATCGGCTTTATGTTAGTGCAGAACCAAGTCCCGATCCTCACACATCGATAATACCACAAGTAAAAATAAAAGCTCACAAATACATAAGATGAGAGTTGCTCAAAAGAGGATTAATTTTTTTTTGTTCATATTTTATTAAAATTAATAATAAAAATGCTAACTACAACGCATTACTATATAAATTCTAATTAATCTAAATCATACTCTTTTCGGAGTGCTTATCTTATTAAAAGCGACTAATCAAACTTTCTTAATATCATTTTGTTTATTATTTTAATACATTGCAAAAAAGGGTATATTAGAATCAGCCATAAAAATTACCAACGAACCACCAACGGGTATGCGCGCCAACATTCACAAAGCTTTGGACAACTTTAGCCAGGATATATTGGAATCTTGCTCCAAGGAAACTGAGTTCAAAGCTATTCTTTTCACTCTGTGTTATTATCATGCTGCCGTGGCAGAGCGTAGAAAATTTGGGGCACAAGGATGGAATGGGGTCAGTATTTTAAATTTTACAAATTTGTGTGACTTGGCATTTTTTAAGTTTGTTTTAGATCATCTATAATTTGCAGTAAAATTCTATGTTTTTATTATCATGTATTACACAGAGAACTTTAAAAGTTTCATTTATAATATAAAATTTTGATTTATGTATATATTGTTTTAATAATACGTATGATACTTAAACATTATACAAAAATTATAAAGCTTTTAGATGGAAAATGTTAGGGATATAAAAATAGACACATCAAGTTACGAGAGAGAGAGAGAGAGAGAGAGAGAGAGAGAGAGAGAGAGAGAGAGAGAGAGAGAGAG